GGTCCTCTCTGTAGCTATGACACACAGGACGGTATACAAGTAGCATGTTATAATAACTGATACACTTTAATGGGAAACCACTCAAATAAGCTTCATGAAGGCACCTTCAGAGCGTTTCCGCTGATGTTTAGAACTCGGAGGTTCTTCAGCGTGCCCTTTCCGTAGCACAGCGTCTCCGCCAGAGTCATATCGGTCAGCAGGTTGTCGGACAGGTCCAGGTACTGCAGGTTCACCAGCAGCTTGGACGTTTCACAGGGTGTCACAAATACCTGAGGGTACAAGTGGCACTTTGTTGATGGAGCTCAGAGAGTTGGAATACAGTGTAGTATACGTTTGTGATTCCCTTAGTGACTGATGCATTTGATTTGCCAGGACGAGAACTAAGAGCCTGGTCACACCAGAAAGTGGCCGGTCAACGTGACAGGTTTACAAAGTCTCTGTCTAGCTCATGTCTGTCCAGTGTTAGGGTAACTGAGTGCAACAGAAGACCTTCCAGTTAACGTGTTTGCTGTTATCCCCATATTTAAACAATATCACGTCGTAATTATTAGTCAAGATTTTGAGAAGAACATAATCTGAGATCTTGGTCACTGGCCTAAACTCAGAATACTCAAGGTGGATCTCAGTAGCTCGCTCTTATCTCCAATTTTATTATGTAAATCTCACTTTGATGTCCGGAATCTGGCTTTTCTTGTTCCTTTCATACTGTATATTTAAAACAAGCCACTATGTTTTCTACCTTGGTGTTAATCACTGACACCTTCCGTGGGTACTGCAGAAGAAATGCCAGCTGTAGAAGCGACACAAACTTAAAGACATCATCCAGCACCACAACGTTCCTCAAGAAGAACTCATCGATACTTTTGTGATCCGTCCAGCTGGCTTTCTCCCACCTACGGTAACACCACCCAGAAACCACAGTTACACACTTGATGCTGTTATACATTTAAGAATGGCAGAAACATTTTCTACCATAGGTTTAACTTTACAATAAACATTAAAGTCTGCTTTATTAGAACTTTTTAAATCAGTAGTAAAAGCCTACAATTAGGAACTTGTACTCAGA